GAAGTTACCGAATTATTTCCCTCTTTTTTTTTTCCTATACCACTGTGCGCTCTTACTAGAATTCTTAATAAAGCAGCAACAACAAAAACCTGCTCTCGTTATTGCCTTTACATTTTTCCCTATACAAAAAAACACAAACAAAAACACTACTTATTTTGTTTAGCATTCACTTGTTGTTGCTTTTTTGCTCTGCTTTTTTGCAAACAACTGCAGTAGTGGTGATTTGCATTTTCTTAAAACACTTTTTTAACCAATTTATCACGTTTTTCATAAAAATATTTTTACATATTCACAAAGTAGACAACCTAAGCTTTACTGTGATATAAATTTTATTTAAAACAACCAATTATTTCTCACTAATTTTTGATATAAAAGAGACTTATTTTCTTATTACAATTATAAGTAGGTCCGATTAAGTTGAATAAAAAGCGCGAACTAAATAGAAGTGTCAAAATAAATAGATGACATTGAGGGGGATGGGTGGATGACAATATGGATTTAGTAAAGAAAAACATAAACAAACATGATACATGTTAGATGGGAGTGAATGTTTTTTGTTTCTTTTTGTAAAAGTGCCATCTTTTGCTTATTTTTGATGAATTTGAGTATGGGGTAATTTCAAAAAATTTCGAACAAAAAAAGTAGGATTTTGAAAATTACCCTCTACGATTCGATGAAATTCGGTACACACATTCTTCATGTAAATACGGAATTTAAAGTTCTCCAAAATTCTTAACGGTTCAGATTTTATCGATGTTCAAAGTTCATATTTTTTATGATTTTTTTCAACAAGCATTAAATTTGACATACGTATTCTCTAATATACATATATAAATATACTTTCCAAACTATTTAACCGATTTTAATCGTTTTAGTCCCCAATTAAAGATTATGTCTTGTAGTTCGACAATATTTTTGAAAAGAACCTATGTATTTTCTTTATTTCATCCACCGTGTAAAAAACATTAGTAATTTATAAAGCTGAAGGTCCACACTACGTCAACAAGTTAGAGTGCTATATTCGGCTATGCCGAATCTTAAATACCCTCCACCAGCAAGCTACTTTTTATTAAAACTCATTTAAATATCTAATTTTCAGATAACATGGCAAAATTTTTGTTTCCGTATTGAGGGTACTAACATTAATGCATATGTCAAACTAATTTTAATAAGGTCGAGAAAAATGTATATTAATTCCGTAAAATGATTTATATATACAAAATACACATTTATGTCGAATTTTATCCCGATAACTTTGATTGTCAATGTGCATTTGAGTAATTTTCGGAAATGGTCCTTATATGGGAATTGTGACCAATTATCGATCGATAAGGAAAAAATTTCGTATAATGATTTATATGCCAAAAAAAAAATTCAATTCGAATTTTGCTAAAATAGATTTACTAATTAATGAAATATGTGCGTTTAGGTGATTTTCGGAAGTGCTTTATATGTATACGAGCTATGACCTTACACAAAACATATTTTTGTCGAATTTTATCAAGATATCTTTATTTGATAATGAAATATGTGCGCTTAAGTGATTTTTTTGAAGTGGACCTTATATAGCAGCTATTACCATATATGGACCAATCCGGAAAATTTTGGAAGAGTGATTCATATAAAGATAAAACATATTTGTGCCGAATTTTATCTAGATAACTTTATTTAACAATTAAATATGTCCGTTTAAGTGATTTTCGGAAGTGGGACTTATATGGGAGCTATGACCAATAATGGACCAATCCGGGAAAAAAGTGGTAGAATGATTTATATGCACATAAAATATATTCAAGTCGAATTTTATCCTTATATTTTTAGAATTTAATGAAATATATGCGTTTAAGTGATTTTCAGAAGTGGACTTTATATGGGAGTTATGACCAGTTATGAGCCTATCCGGAAAAAAATATTTGTGTCGAATTTTATCAAGATAGCTTTATTTGACAATGTGCTATTAAGTGATTTTCGGAAGTGGGCTTTATATGGGAGCTATTGGTCATAGCTCCCATATAAAGCCCATTGGACCGATCCGTAAAAAGTTTTGTGGAATGATTTGAATGTACACAAAACATATTTTTGTCGAATTTTATCACGATAGCTTTAGTTGACAATGAAATATGTGTTTTTAAGTGATTTTCGGAAGTGGGCCTTATATGGGAGCTATGACGAATAATGGACCGATCCGTAAAAAAATTTGGTAGATTGATTTGTATGTACACAAAACATATTTAACTCGAATTTTATCACAATAGCTATATTCATCAATGAAATATGTACGTTTAGATGATTTTCGGAAGTGGACCTTATATGGGAGCTATGACCAATTGTGGACCGACTGAGATCTACGTTGACTGTATGATTTCTGTTCATATTATATTTGCATGTACAAAATTTTGTGTTGATACCGATATATTTGAGGGAGTTATTAACGATAAACTAATTTCCGGGAATATATACCTTTGTATGGGGGCTATGAGAAATATTCGATCGATTGTAAAGATCTTGAACATAATTGATCACAGGCATAAAAAAATAATGTGTGACAAAATTCATCGAAATATCTTTGGTAGTTTCTGAGAAAACTTCAAAAGATTGTTGAAAAAAACGTAATTTTTTTTCGAGGTAGTCTGAAATTTTTACTCATAACTTTTTACGTTGTGAACCGATTTTGCTGATTTTCAATACCAAACTGCTTAGGACAATAATAAATATTTTGGGTGAATTTGGTTGCTTTCCTTTGCTTAGTTTTAATGTGAGCGTGTTTTACACAGACAGACAGACAGACGGACATAGCTAAATCGACTCAGAATTTGATAAGGACCCAGAATATATATACTTTGTTGGGTCTTAGATGAATATTTCTTGGTGTTACACACGGAACGACAAACTTATATATACCCTCTATCACCACTGATGGTGGTGGAGGGTATACGCTTATAAATATAGAGAGTAGATCTACTTTAAGCTTTTGTGCTTGTAACTTCCCAGCAAAAAATCTGAAATTTTTGGTAATAGCCAGTAGTTATTTCATTTATTACTTGGTAATGAGTGTTCATTATCATCCACATTATTTCATTTAGCTGAATAGGTTATTACTGGTAAAGAACAAAACAATTTGGATTTGTTATGGCTCAATTGTCTAGGTCGTTCATTTAACAAACAGGGGGTTCGTGGTTCGAGCCCTGCTGGATACTGTTTATTTTTTTCAAAAGACATTCATTTATATATTTTTGTAAAAAGCCGTTCTCAAAATTACAAAAAGCAACATGTTAATGGAGCATCGAGTAAGCGGCTGGAGTGAGAAACATAGAAAACAACTGAATGCCTGGGTTCAAATCCTGGCCGAGGAATTTTTTTATTTTTTGTTTTCTACATACAAAGTCGGCCCAAAATAACTAGCTATAACATAACATATTTGTAGGTTTATTTGTAACTAGTTATTTCGCAAAGTTTTTGTAATCAAATTAGTAACCATTTATTAATTTGTTTAAGGTAGGTACATATTATTTGAACCTCGTCGAACAAAAATAATTAGTTATTCACCCCAAAAGTAATTAGTTTCCACGTGATTCCAATATTACTTTCTAGATTACTAGGTAATGAAAATTTTTGCTGGGTTGTAGCACACAACAACATTGATTCTACTTTTTTTGACAGCAGCGTAGATTCTACGCCGTAGAATGCGAAGAAGTGTAGAACGCATGGTGTGGACCTCCAGCTTAACGGTACACTTACTATAAAATAATGTTGTAATAAAAAGTCAAAATTATCGGAATTGAACCCAAATTGTATGGTTTGTTATATTTGAAAGAATAAATAGCAAAAAAATTCTTTAATAAAATTTCAATATTGAACACATCTTTGTTTCAATTTTGTGTAGTCAGTTGCAGTTTATCCATTAATTATAGTTTTTTTTAATATTTTTAATTAACTACATAGTTTAAAAAAACCTTTGTTTATTTCGAACTTCTTTGTCCCAAATACACCCAAAATAAGCAAAAACGTCACTATTACAAAAACAAACAGAAACACATTCACTCTCATCTAACAACTAACATCTTTATTTTTGTTTTTCTTTACTAAATCCTTATTGCCAACCACCCATCTCCCTCAATGTCAATCATTTATTTTGACACTTCTATTTAGTTCGCGCTTTTTATTCCACTCAATCGGACGTATAATTAAAATAAGAAAATAAGTGCCTCTTTTTTATAAAAAATTAGTGAGAAATAATTGATTGTTTTAAATAAAATTTATATCAAAGTGAAGCTTAGGTTGTCTAGCTTGTGAATATGTAAAAATATTTTTATGAAGAAAGTGATAAATCGGTTAAAAAAGTGTTTTAAGAAAATGCAAATTACCATTATTGCAGTTGTTTGCAAAAAAGCCGAGCAAGAAAGCAACAACAAGAGTATACAAATCCAAATAAGTAGCGTGTTTTTATTTGTGTTTTTTTTTTTTTTTTTTTTGTATAGGCAATAAAAAGAGAAGGTTTTTGTTGTTGCTACTTTATTAAGAGCTCTAGTAAGAGTGAAAATTATTGTAAATAAAAATGTAAGCAAAACCATTTTTGCAAAGAAGATTGTTTGGTGATATTTTTAAAAAGGTAAGTTGTTTAAATAAACTAGTGTTATTAAAAAAATAGTTTTCTTTTTATTTTTTATTAATTTTTTTTATTAATTACGAAAAATATCTTAACAAACAATTGTATAAAAAAGCCAATCGCACTAAAAGTTAAATAATAATTTGTATAAAAATAAAAAAAAATACTAAGGTAAAAACTTAAAAATTACAAATTTTAAATAATATACACTTTTAAAAAACGTTCAGATATTTTAAATATTTGACAAAATAAGGATGTCAAATGGTTTTTGTGTTGTAAAAATTTTTGATTGATGTAGGTATAATCCATTTATAACTCTCATTTTAACAAATTTTTGAACAATCTAGAACGTTCCTTTTAAACTTTTCAAAAAAGTTCCAAAGTTTTTCTTTTCAACATTTCTCGTTGACATTATTTGCATTAATGTATTAAGTATAATGTAGTATTTATGTTATCTAAATTGTATACAATAGGAAATTCTTGAAGACATATTACTCTAATATGGTAAACAATAACTTATAAATTACAATGAAACATATTAATTGCAAAGTGAAGAAATTTCGAATGCCTCTAATTATTTCCATCTATTTAATGAATGTCAATTGAAGAATGAAGAAGTTTTTTTATGATTTATTTTTTAAAAACTAAATTGTAAAATGAATCAAAATACTTGTTTTTTTTTTGCAATAAACTGCTGCTAGCTTGCGTCCTATCTTCGTATGCAGGGTTCACAGGTACCCGGTCTAACATAGGACGGATGACATTCAGGACACTTAGGATTTTCACCATACCAATGTATATGTTCATCTGTATCGGCACGTCTTTCGGGTATTTTCAATTGAAATGAGTTATAAACATCGGTATCTAAATAGCCCGTACGCCCAACATTTTCCAGAGGAAAAGCATATTCGGGTACTGAAAGTTCTTTACGTATTTGGAATATATCCCCTGGATTACTAGATCTTTGTGTACTGGTAGACGCTCTGGTCGTGCTTGTGGTAGAGGTTTTTGTTTTAGTTTCATTTACACCTTTAGGCTGTCCCGTTTCTTTAATTGATCTGGAAATGGGGGAACGTGAGGTTATAGTTGTTTTATTTTCGGATTTTCTACTGCTCGTATTATTGCTTTTATTTTGATCTATGCCAAAGGAGGAGATTGAGCTGAAGCCATTATTTGTACTTATAGAATTGTAATCAATTACGGTTTCGGGATATTCTCTGCCATCTACTCCTATGGGAGAGTCTAGTTTTGGTGGCTCTAAACCATCAGAGGGAACTTTCCATTCATAATATATAGGTGGTCCTTGGGTGGTCGCCACATCATGTGTTATAAAATCTGCTAAAGGTGGTAACAATTGTTTTGAGGGCTGTTCATGTTTTATACTACCCCGATCTGGTTTATTGTATGTTGAATTTTGTGTAGTTCTAGAATTTTTAACCGGGGGAGTAGGTGTAGGTGGTTTAAAACCTTGGGCTGGTGCAGGTGTTCTAATTTCTTTACTTAATTTCGAAACATCAAATCTATCAATGTTATTGGAATTTGTGCCCACTTTTGTACTGGTGCTAAATGAGGAGCGAGTAAATGGTTTGCCTATTACGGTTGTTGGTCGAGTTGGGGCTTTAGTAGTGGTCGTACTTGTGGTAGCCGATACACGTGTTACAAACGGTGAAGCTGTTGATGCTCTAAAGGTAGGTCTCATTGTAGTTGTGGCTGTGTTATCATCCATATTGTAAATGGGATATAATAAAGGAGGTTCGTAGATTTTGGAAGGTACTTTTATTTTAGGATTTAATGTAGTTTTCCTCGTGGTGGCGGCTGGTTTGGCTGTGGTAAAGGCATTGTTAAAGTTGCTATTGTAGGTAGATTTTCGTGGTGTAGTAACTTTTTGTGGTGTCTTGGCAAAACGATCTTCCGCTGAATTAAAATCAGCCGAAGTGTTATAACGTGTACTGTGACTGGTGCCTAAGTCATCGTGTTCCAATTGCAAATGTTCATCGTGGCGATTGTGTAAAGCAGCAACATTATTAAATTTCGCGGATTGATTTTTAGTAATTGCTGTGGGTCTCAAGGTCGAAGGTTTTCGCGTTGTGGTCGTTACAGTTGAAGTATAATATGAGGTGCGGGTTGAGGGTTTTGCACTACTTTCCTCTAATATTTGGGGCTCATAAGCTGGTGGTAATATAATGCGACTAGGTGGTGGTATTTTCCATCTCTGTTGTCCGGTACCCAATTGGTTTTGTTGCGATTGTAGAGTTTTCTCTTTCATTTTTTGAGCTGTATGATCATAGATTTGATTTAGCACTGATGAAAGTGACTGAAAGTAAAAACCACATTTTTAAAAAGTTTGTATTATAAATTAAAATTCAATGTACCTTTTGATATTGGTTCCTAAACGATTCCCCTGAGTAGTCGGGAGCATAAGGACGATCTAACAGATCTGGTCGGGGGGTACGTAAGCTATTTTCCTCATCGTTAACAAATGGTTTATCACGTTGGCCTTAAAATGGACAAAAAAATATTTATTACAGTTTATCAAGTAAATTAAGCATTATTTTCAATTCAAATTTAAATTCTCTTTTATTAGTCGTGCTCACTAGGTGGCATTTTAAAATGTTTATTATTATAGTTTCATGGTGATGGATAGACGGACTGACTAACTGACCTATTAACAAATTTGCCGTGTAATCACTTTCAGCTTTGGAACAATTCACCATATACCAATGATCACATATTAGCATGCGCTGTTGGAATAAGGTTGTATTCGGACATGAATAGCTAAATTGTCGTCCCAGACCATCACACATGTGGTAGACCTTTAAGAAAAACAAATAAATAGACAAAATATAATAAAATACATAAATAAAGGTTTGTGTTTATTCATTTGATGGTTTCATCAAACTAGCAAACTGGCAAATTTATACACTCATTACTATACCTGACAACCAGTTTCAATATCAGCATAGTAGCCAGATGGTCGACCAGCACACGAAAATGAAGTCTTTTGAAATGTTCGATGAGCTCCAATTGCATTTTGACTCTGTTTACAATAAAGATGATAGAAAAACAATTGCAAATTAATAAACAGTACAGTAAAATATTGATTTTTTATTATTTTTTGTTTCCCCCTATACAATAAATCACAAAACTATGAAATGCAAACGGTTGATGTTGTTTTGTTTTTGCATTTAATAGAAATAGAAATATAAAATAAAATACATAGATTTGCCAAAAGATTAATTGCTGGCGGTAGACTGTCAACAATGAAGTCATAGATAAATCGCTTTTTCAATTTGTGTTGGCGTTGAAACTATAAGAAAATTCGACTCCAAAGACTTTTAACAATTACAACGTAATCCATTCGAAGAAGTTAGTTGCAGTAGCTGTAAGTAGTAGAAAAGGGCACAACCTCCCTTCTAAATAGATGCATAACTACTTATGAATCTATGTATGTATATCAAAGGCTTATATGTACTTCTTATAAATTCTCTCACGCGCTATATATTTAAGCAGAAGTTGCACAGTAGATCACTGCAGATCACAGTGACACATTAACTAGATTATAGTCTCTCTATGAGTAGGTTGCATGTACTTAGTTTTCAATATAAAAGTGACTACATTAAACAAACTGTATGCATGTCCCCAAATAAATGAATCTATTGGATTAATTTTGTTTCTTTTTTGTTTAAAACATGCAATATATTTTCCACAAAAACCTCTATATGTTTTGTCTATGTAGATATTTTCTGTTTAGGTAATTTTGAAATATTTATGAAGTCTACTCCTATGTATGTTGTGTCTATGATATTGCAACTTTTTGTTGCAACTATGTACATACTCATCTTCTCCTAAATATGCTGCGATTTATGCTTAAACATGCACCCAAACATCTATTCATTCATATATCTTGTTGTCTTTAAGAGTGATGATGTCACTTGCTGTGACAAGTGGCAATAAACATGTTACTTCTTTCTAACCATGTTCTTCTGTTTGTCTTCAATTTTATTTAATTTAAGGGATTTTTATTACCAATATTATAAGAGTAATGATCGAATGTATGTATCTACAATGGGAATAGTTGTTAATTTAAAACATATTTTGTTGAAGACAAAACAAACAGTTGCTTCTGTCGAAAATTGTAATGAAAATAACAAGCGTTGAAGTTTAAAGTTCAATATTATTACATATTTCTTTTCTTTTTTTATGCAATTTATTGTTTGCAATAATATGATTTGACGGAAATTTGTATGAGTATGAAATTTTAAAAAAAAACCCAAGAAATAAAAAACTTTGTTAGATTTCAAAAATAATGAAACAGTAATTTAATATTTTATATTTTTAAATAAAATTGTTTACTGGGTCGTGTTTTTCAAGTATATTTGTTAATTTCTGTATGTGTCTCAACAATTTATTACAAAATCATTGTGATTAATTGAAAATATATATTGGTCTACGGAATTGGAATTCAAATCAATAACATTTTAGACTAGACTATAGGCTAAACTAGACTATGGACTAGACTATAGACTAGACTATTAACCTAGACTATAGTGACTAGACTATAGACCTAGACCTATAGACTAGACTATAGACTAGACTATAGACTAGACTATAACTGACTTAGACATACTGACTATATAGACTATAGCTAAAAACTAGGACTAGACTATAGACTAGACTATAGACTAGACTATAACTACTAACTAGACTATATAGCTAGACTATAGACTAGATATAACTAGATTAGACAGCTATAGCTAGACTAAGACTAGACTTAGAGCTAGACTAGATAGATACTTTAGACTAGACTACTGAGACTAGACTATAGACTAGACTATAGACTTAGACTAGACTATAGACTAGACTATAGACTAACATAGACTAGACTATAGACTAGACTATTAGACTAGACTATAGACTAGACTATTAGAGATAGACATACTAGACTATAGACTATACTATAGACTAGACTATAGACTAGACTATAGACTAGACTATAGACTAGACTAGACTAGACTATAGACTAGACTATAGACTAGACTATAGACTAGACTATAGACTAGACTATAGACTAGACTATAGACTAGACTATAGACTAGACTATAGACTAGACTATAGACTAGACTATAGACTACTATAGACTATAGACTAGACTATAGACTAGACTATAGACTAGACTATAGACTAGACTATAGACTAGACTATAGACTAGACTATAGACTAGACTATAGACTAGACTATAGACTAGACTATAGACTAGACTATAGACTAGACTATAGACTAGACTATAGACTAGACTATAGACTAGACTATACTAGACTATAGACTAGACTATAGACACTAGACTATAGACTAGACTATAGACTAGACTATAGACTAGACTATAGACTACTAGACTATATAGACTAGACTATAGACCTAGACTATAGACTAGACTATAGACTAGACTATAGACTAGACTATAGACTAGACTATGACTACTGACTAGACTATAGACTAGACTATAGACTAGACTATAGACTAGACTATGGACTGACTATAGACTAGACGATAGACTATAGACTATGACTACTAGACTAGACTATAGGACTAGACTATAGACTAGAACTATAGACTAGACTACTAGACTAGACTAAGAGACTATGACTATAGATAGACTAGACTATAGACTAGACTATAGACTAGACTTAGAGACTAGACCTATAGACTAGACTATAGACTAGACTATAGACTAGACTATAGACTAGACTATGAGACTAGACTATAGACTAGACTATAGACTAGACTATAGACCTTAGACTATAGACTAGGGGGGGGGGACTATAGACTAGACTATCGACTAGGACTATAGGACTAGACTATAGACTAGACTAGACTAGCTAAGACTAGGACTATAGACTAGACTATAGACTAGACTATAGACTAGACTATAGACTAGACTAATAGGACTAGACTATAAGACTAGACTATAGACTGACTATAGACCTAGACATAGACTAGACTATAGACTAGACTATAGACTAGACTATAGACTAGACTATAGACTAGACTATAGAACTAGACTATAGACTAGACTATAGACTAGACTATAGACTAGACTATAGACTAGACTATAGACTAGACTATAGACTAGACTATAGACTAGACTATAGACTAGACTATAGACTAGACTATAGACTAGACTATAGACTAGACTATAGACTAGACTATAGACCTAGACTCGACTATAGACTAGACTATAGACTAGACTATAGACTAGACTATAGACTAGACTATAGACTAGACTATAGACTAGACTATAGACTAGACTATAGACTAGACTATAGACTAGACTATAGACTAGACTATAGACTAGACTATAGACTAGACTATAGACTAGACTATAGACTAGACTATAGACTAGACTATAGACTAGACTATAGACTAGACTATAGACTAGACTATAGACTAGACTATAGACTAGACTATAGACTAGACTATAGACTAGACTATAGACTAGACTATAGACTAGACTATAGACTAGACTATAGACTAGACTATAGACTAGACTATAGACTAGACTATAGACTAGACTATAGACTAGACTATAGACTAGACTATAGACTAGACTATAGACTAGACTATAGACTAGACTATAGACTAGACTATAGACTAGACTATAGACTAGACTATAGACTAGACTATAGACTAGACTATAGACTAGACTATAGACTAGACTATAGACTAGACTATAGACTAGACTATAGACTAGACTATAGACTAGACTATAGACTAGACTATAGACTAGACTATAGACTAGACTATAGACTAGACTATAGACTAGACTATAGACTAGACTATAGACTAGACTATAGACTAGACTATAGACTAGACTATAGACTAGACTATAGACTAGACTATAGACTAGACTATAGACTAGACTATAGACTAGACTATAGACTAGACTATAGACTAGACTATAGACTAGACTATAGACTAGACTATAGACTAGACTATAGACTAGACTATAGACTAGACTATAGACTAGACTATAGACTAGACTATAGACTAGACTATAGACTAGACTATAGACTAGACTATAGACTAGACTATAGACTAGACTAGACTAGACTAGACTAGACTAGACTATAGACTAGACTATAGACTAGACGTGGATCATGTTTATTATTTTTGAAAACAACATGGTCCATAGCTTGCATTACATAGGACCATGTTGCGGATCATGTGCTCCCATAATTTCAGTAAGGACTAGTGTTGGGATTACTCCGTTGTACTGCATTGGATTACGTGATCCTCACCTAGGACATCACAATGTTAAATGGAGTATATTTGGATCTCAATTCTTGTAGGGTACTAGACTATAGATTAGACAATAGATTAGACTATAGACTCATAGACTATAGACTCATCAACTATTTCTTAAAATCTGTCCCGATATTAACAATATATACAAAATAAAAAGCTTAAGAAAAAACAAGTAAGAAATTATAGTCGGGCGAGGCCGACCATATTATACCCTACACCTGTTACAAAATTAAAATGCGATTTAGTTTTCATAATAAAGCATTTAAGTTGAATTGTACCTTGTACCTCTCAGATGTACTTTTATTTTTGAATAAAATTGTGGATATTTAAGTCAAATTTTGAAGGGGGCTTTGTATAGGGGCTATGGTCAAAAGATACCCTATAATTATAAAATTCATGAGAATCATCGAGGCTAGTATAGAACTTGGTTTTGTAGCGTTTTGTCGAGATACGAGTATATTAAACATAATTATGAACTAAGAGCCTTATTCGGCGAGTTCAGTTGTATGGGGGCTAGGTGAAATAATGGACCGATGTTAACCATTTTCAATAGGCTTCGTCTCCGGTAACATAGAAGATGTGCCAAATTTTATTAAATTATCTTTAAAATTGCGACCCGTAGTTTGATTACAAGGTTTACAAGCCCTATTCGGGGGTTCAGTTGTATAGGGGCTAGGTGAAATAATGTAAACCATTTTCAATAGGCTTCGTCTCCGATACTATAGAAGATCGTGC